AGGTCCCTCCAACCTAAGCTTGTGGTATATGTTAGAAATATTAACTACCCAACCCACTTTATGGTCTATTGTTGTTGAGAATTAAATTTATCTTTCACCATATATAGCAAAAGGATCATTATCATATTACCACACAACACAAGCATATTTCGATAACAATCATATACATCCATGCACAATATGTTAGAATTTGTGAATGAAAATTGTTTGATAAGTTATCAACAAAATACGTGAAAGACGTATATAGTTGATATACGTAGTGTGAAGGGTCCATCCATTCTTTAACACCTCTTGGGAAATATAGTTGTTGCGATAACGTTGTTAAAGATGTTTAGGCTGCACCATCACTCAAAACTAATAGACATAACCTATTCAATGTGAATCATTATAACCTATTGCAGTGGATGTGTCTGATGAAGAACAAACATATATAAATGGTTGTGTCCAATGATGAAAAGACACATCCAATCCGAAAAGGCACTTCTATGTCTATAATTACCCCCTTGCGTTGCCATAATTTAATCGTTGAATTCATTTTTTCCTTCTCTCCCTCTGTAGACTTGAATCTAACCTAGGTGGGTTCAAACCATAGGTTAAGTGGTCCGAGCCACTTAGACCCAAATCCAATTTCACCCAGCCATATTAAAATTGGTTCGAGCCATTTGGTTCGGATTGCACCAATTTCATCATTTTATACATTATAGATGCATTATTGAGTTAGATAGAGTATTACACAGAGAAGGTTCACCATATCCACGAGTTTGAAGTGCTACTGGTGGATGTAAATCGTTATATACTGCGAGACAAGTGCTATGGAGTCCGTCAGCACCATGCGGGGCGTAAATTATCTTAAGGACATAGTATCTATTACTAGCCTCGGTCAAGATTCTTTATTTATTATTATTATTTTATTGCATTATTTTACATATTTAATTAAATATCGAGTTGCATATTTAATTAATTAATTTTTAGCATATTACTAATTATCTCATGGCATATTAGTATAATGTTAGTTATATCAATCTTAAATGTCATATGAAACATATATTTTCTAAATCTTAAGTGTAGATTTTATTATATGCTTCTATTTAATATATAAACAAGTAGAGATTATACTAATAATTGAGATATAATAAAATAATGCTATAAACATTGTTACATGATAATATGCTAATATTGATATGTTCAATATTTTGTGAAATTGAATTAGCATGTTATATATGTAGAATATTGATTTATTTATATGATTCAATATTGATTGAATTATTTTAATTTTGTAATATGATATTGTGTAGTATATTATATTACATAGTGGCAATGCAAAATTGAATCATATTATGAAACTATATATTGTTATGTTACTTCATGTGAGTTCCATATTGTTTGAAACTAATGTGTAGTTTATTTTAATTTACAATATTGTCTTTAGAGGTGAATTAATTAGTGTATGTTTAATTCAATTATACAATATAGTTTCTTTGATGTGTATGATTATCAATTGTTTATAAGTTGAATGGTCTGTGAATTCATACAACATATAAATATTGACTAGTCTAACTAGTCAATACTCCCAATAGTTATGGAAAAAAGATCTACACTAGTGTCTAAGATACATATAACAGTGAATGTGGTTGGGCTTAATAAGAGAAGTTTTTTTGATAACTTTAAGGAGTTTAATGGAAAATGTTATGGATACACTAAATTAGTACACCGAGCTAAAAGTGACAAGCTAATTAAAGCTAGATAGCTATAAAATATAATTTAGCTAAAAGCTAAAATGTTACTGAGGTATAAGCTAGTTAGCTATAGAGTAAAAATTAGCCAACTAAAATGATTAATGAGGTGCATATGATCGAAAATGCAGATAAAAATCTATTAGTTGGTTCTAGTTCTTAACTTGGTAGAAAAAAAATGAGGGTGATGAATAGTCATTTTAGCTATACGCTATTTGAGCTATACATTATATCTGCTCCTGTAAAAAGAAGAATACTAGTTTTAAAATAGTTTTTTTTGGAGAATATTCTTCAAAACAAATTCCTTTACTACCAATATAGAAAACTTAGTTAAGGGTGTACTAAAGCTAAGAGCCACTAGAATTGATAGCTGAACAAACTTAACTACAAGCTAGTGGTAATATTAGAGAAGTGGGTGTTCACCATGAGCTAGTAATGAGAGATGAGAAAAGTGTACTTACTATAAGATAGTAGTGATAGCTGAAAAATGTGTATACACTATAAGGTAATGTATTCAAAGCTAAAATAATAGAGTGAATTATTTGCTTAAATTATATGATTGGGTTATGTGATGTGAGACACACAGAAATTTAGGACTTGTTAATATGAGCATAATTAACATGAATCTAAACAGAAATTACTCAAGCCATAAATATGAGAGATGTAGAAGCAAATATTAACTATTGTCCATTATAATTAATATCTCTAGCATTAATTCACAGTAATATCGGTGAATTATTATAAGAACAAGCTAGAGTGAATATGCATTAGAGATTGTTAAAAAACAAAACTTTTCTTTTTGGTTCAGGAGAAATGCAACCGGTTCTATTTAGAATGCAACCAGTTCTATTTTTCCCAAGTGCCATTTTTGGTGCAAAATGCAAAATACCCCGAGAGATTATCTAGGTTAAATGCAACCGGTTCAATATGTGAAAAACCCTAATTGCTCTCTTCCAACTTCAAACCTATTCTAAGTGATCCTTACAAACTTACCTTGACTAAATGTTGTTCATTATCGAACCGAGATGTCCGTGAGTATCTTCACTTGAAATTTCCCCTTCCGAAACCGAGACTCGATAATAAATGAAAAATTACAACTCGATCCAAATTTGTTTTGATCACCTAAATATGCCAATTACAAATTTTACATCTCACAATACTTTTATAATGGATTTTGTTCGGTGCGTTCTGTGGACCTAGCCCTAAGTTTTAGGTGAACCACATATATTGAATGTTCTTGTGGTTATTTTTTTCTTTTGATTGCTTGTGATTATTCCTCGGACATCATTGTTTTTTGGGTTTTTGCCATAACACTTATTGTTAGCCGAGATATGATAGGTGCAAATCATGAGATGTGACTTACCATATTATATGAGATATGATAGCCACAAATCATAGATTTGAATTTATTTACGCATATGTTTAGGCATAGAATATGCAATGATTTTATTTAGTTTCTCTTAGTGTAATATTAATATGTGTTCTTTTTAGTATATAAATATGAGAGTTGTGAATGAGTGTTTATATGTCTCATTTAAACCTTTTATATATTTCTCTTCTCTTTCTTCTATATTATATTTCTTGTTGGTATTAGAGACAGGGTGCAGTGGTCCGACTGCGCGCAATGATGGCATTGCAAGTTCGGCACCACTCATTCGAGAATGGTCTAAGGAGACATCCCCCATCTAGGATGTGTCAGTAGTCAAGGTTTCTAACCTCAATGAAGGCATTATAAGTTCGAAACCACCCATTCGAAAATGGTCTAAAGAGACGTGGTTGCTTTTTGTATGGTCTAGGGAGACATTAATGTTAATTCTTTCATCTACATTGTTTAAACATATGTATGAAAGGGAATGGTCTGAGGAGACATTTTTTATTCTTCTATCTACATATTTTAAACATGTGTATGAAGGGAAATAGTCTGAGGGGACATTGTTTGTTGGTTGTTTACAGTCTGAGGAGATATGGTTGGTTGTTTTTGGTCTGAGGAGACATTGTTGAATGTTTATAGTTTGATGAGACATTTTTAGTTATTGATTGGCACTTCAATTGATAAAAAAGCATCGCTAATCAGATGTGTATGTGTTAGCAAGACCGTGTTTATAGATGCATTTTCCAAGTTGGGCATCTCAGACATTTATGCACCAACTTGAGGGGGCCGGACTGTTAGCCGAGATATTGTAGAAGCAAATCATGGGATGTGACTTACATTATTATCTGAGATATGATAACTACAAATCATGGATCTAACTTTATTTATGTATATATGTCTAGGCATAGAATATGCAATGATATTATTTAGTTTCATTTATTGTAATATTAACATGTACTCTTTTTAGTATATAAATGAATGAGTGTTTATTCATCTCATCATTCAAACCTTTTACATATTTCTCTTCGCTTTATTCTATATATTTCTTCTCTTATAAAGAGTGAAAATTCCTTATTGAGTGTCTGTACATGTTCTCACAGCTCCAACATTAGCCACCTAAGATAATGTGATATTAATGTTAAAAGATCTCACATATTAGCAAGTCAAAATGACCAACACTGTAACTTGAATCCACTACTAACCCTCTTAGGATTTAGAGCTTGAAAATTTTAGCACATAAGAATCATACTAAAATAATGGCACTAAATTGTGTAATGTGATAATTTTATAGTGATCCACTTCGGTGAACTCCAAACACACCGACTTAGAATTAACTATTCTAATGGTTCAGACAAACCATCTTATCTTGTAAAGATCAAATATGTTACAATTTTACAGATAAAAGTGACATATTTTTATTATTGCAAACAATGCCAAGGTGCAAAAAATCGATGAACTCAAATCTCATGTGTAAAACTATTCACACACTTTATTCACCTATAATACAACTTGAAAATTATTATACGTCTAATGCTAACATATGAAGAACTCGATGCATATATATTTAATTTCATAACAACACATTTACTAAGAAAATGTCGAATTAATTATTTGACCTTTAACACATATAATCTCAACAAATGTACAAAGCAATGTCACTAGCTTCATGACTTTACCAACGTATGTGTAAATGAAGTAGCTGACAAAGGAATTAGAGAAAAAAATTACACAAATGAGGAAAAAAAAAAAAAAGAAAAAAAAAAAAAGAAGAAGAAAAAAAGAGAGACTTGGTCTATGTGTAACAATACAAGTTCTCTAGAGAAAAAAGGTGTGTCCATGAAAAAAAAAATAGTCCCACAAGTGAATTATATATATCTCTCAATATGAACTGAAATTTAGCACTCCTTATGACGAGATCGACCATGGAGACCAAGATGCTTGGCTGCAAATTAAGGAGCAAAAGAGCAAATTAAAATCATAATAAAATAAAACAGAAAAGTAAAGGATATGATATATATATATATATATATATAACTTTGGAGGAATATATACTTACTCGATAATATATCTCCAGTAAGAGTCACCTGCTTCATTATCCAAAAGTTCCCCCAAAGCTTCAAAGGTGGTTGAAGTAGATGAAGGTTTGGACATATGAGTTGGGTTGCTTCTGTCATCCATTGGATTGACAATGGAACACTGTGGTGAGGCTGAAACCAATGCAGGCATTGAATCCACAATTGGTACAACACTAAATTGATTATTTTCATTATAATCACTAGTAGAAACTTCAAACTGAGAATTCATATTTTGAGTACAGTTAGGAGCAAAACCAATGAGACTATTGGTATGTGATCCTTCAAACTGAGAATTCAAGACTCTTAGGTATTCATAAAGCTGTTGGTCATGAAGTGGTACAGATCCCAATATGTTAAGAGCTTCCATGGAAGAAGGTGGACCACTAGTACTGGTTAGGGTTTGAAGTATACTTTGCAACAATTGGATTTTGGCTTGTTGTGTGGCATCCAGTTGTAACCTGAGAGCATTGCCCCAAGAATTCATTGGATTATTACTACTCAAGTTTGTTGCAAGCAGCTGAGGAAGGTTGATCATGAGGAAATCAAGATCAGTTCTTGGTTTGTGGGTTATTGGATCAACACCCATTTGGAGAAGCTTTTTCTTGAGATGGGTATTCCAAAAGTTCTTGATTTCATTATCAGTCCTTCCTGGAAGTTGGGTTGCTATCTTTGACCACCTGCACAGAGAGATCACACATTAATCAAGTCACTATAGTCTTTTTTGCTTCACTTTGGTTATTAGGTCTTATTGCCCACACTAAAAGAAACTTTCTGTATTAATTGCTATTAAACTGTGACAAACTATAGCAAATGAGGATCAAAGTATAAAGAGGTAACACTGACAGCGCCTTGGCTCAAGTGGTAAGTCATTTGGGTATGATGCCTCATGAAGTATTCGGGTGAAAGCCCGAGTTTTACCCAACTTGTGGGGAGGAGACGCTTTGCATATGTCTCGGGAATTAGTTGGGGCAAAACCATGAAACCTGGCCAGTTACTTGGAAAGAAAAGAAAAATAAATAAATAAATAAAATCGTGCTCGCAGGTGAAAGCCAGGCTTTACCCGACTTGTGTGGAGGAGACTTTGCATATGTCTCACGGATTAGTTAGGGCAAAGCCAGGATACCCAGTTACCGGGAAAACCACCAAAAAAAAAAAAAAAAAAAAGTTCCAATATTAAGTATGGAGCTTAGAAATTGATTTTTACTTATTTCCAAAAACTGAATGGAGGTTGATGATGGTCTGTTGTTCTTCGTCAGAAAACTTTCCTCTCTTGATATCTGGACGCAGATAGTTGGTCCACCTTAATCGACAACTCTTTCCGCACCGGTTCAGTCCTGCAAGCTTTGGAAGTGCTCTCCAACTTCCATGGCCATGTCTATGTATATGGTCAATAAGCTTCTGGTCCTCCTCTGGAGTCCATGGACCCTTCTTTAGTCCATTCTCATCACAGCATGGTGATCTCCCCATAGTCCCTGCAGATATCTAATGAAGAATTATATAACTCCATATATAAAAATAAAAATAAAAATAAAAAATTTAGTTATTATACAACTTAGATAACAAATAGATCCACTACAAAGACAAGAAAATTTCAAACCTTAGACTAGCTAGTTTGTGTTCTCAAAATGCTGGAATGACCAATGTTGGATATGTGACAAATTGGTGCTGGTTTTATAGTGTGTGTGGGTGTTTTAATAATAATAAGGATGTAGTGTAACACAGAGACATTCCCCAAATGAGTGATATGTTTCTTTATTGTTATTGGAAATTCCTAACGTGCCCTTTTCCATATTTTTTGGTAATTTTTCCAATTTATATATATATATATATATATATATATATATATATATATATATATTAAACTGCATGCTTCTTGGGACCAAGAATACTAACCTCTAAAACCCCAAGAAAATGTTTCAACCTCCAAATGCCATCAAAATAACCCTTATTCCTTGAAAACAATTCACAACTTTCTGTCACATCAGAGGATCAAGAAAGGAAAAACCTTTAAATAATAGATATTATCTTTTATAAATAATTTTCCTACACATCCATTGTTACCACATGAAGGGCTTAATTTGGTAATCACACCAAGTTTACTAGTAGTCTGACATCAACTTATATTTATGATGATTTTTCTTATTCAACAAGGAAAATGTTTCACCAATATACGGAGCAGGTTTCTGCAGGTGGCACACACAGAAAGGGCAAATATAGCTGAATTAAAGCTCTTTAATTATGTATTAAAGTTTTAGTAGACGCAAAACTGTTTTTTTCTTTGGACGGCGAGACTTAATTACTATGCGAGCGAAATTAATCACCTTCTAACTACTCCTATTAATGTTAATACTTTAATTACTATTACCGTGTAAAATCATAAAACCTTTTATACTACAAATAATATTCGCAAAAATGATAAATCTTTTCATGTCAATTAAGTTGTGAAATGAAATAATTAATTCTATTTTCCAATTGAGATTTAATGTGCTTAATTTAGTGCCCTATGAAGTTTACATTCATAATTTTAAAATAATAATTATTAATATTTTAATTTAACATTAGATAATAAAATCAATTTTATAAATTCATAACCTAGTTAACACGTATATTAGGTAACATATATCATAATTTTTGTTAATTTTGGGAATTATTTGATCTTTTTTAGGGATATATGTATATTTCTAATAGTACAGAGAATTTTTATGATTTTACCTCTTACTCTTATTTGGAAAAATATATTTGGATCCTTCTCTTTGGTAGCTTTATATATATTATTGACGACAATATAATTCTATAAAACTCTTTTAGAAAAAAGTTTTACCTTCAAAATCCAAATCACACTTTATGGTCAAAACGCCGCCTCAAAATCCAATAAACTTTTTTTTTTTACAAAAGTTTTATAGAATTATAATTCTATAAAAATCTTGTAGAAAAAAGTTTTATCTTCAAAATCCAAATCACACTTTAATGGTCAAAACGCCGCCTCAAAATCCAATAAACTAAAGCAAAGATCATGCATCGTCAATATATATATATATATATATATATATATATATATATATATATATATTATTGACGACAATATAATTCTACAAAACTCTTGTAGAAAAAAGTTTTATCTTCAAAATCCAAATCACACTTTATGGTCAAAACGCCGCCTCAAAATCCAATAAACTAAAGCAAAGATCATGTATCGTCATTAGGATTCATTAGTGTATAAATACAATTGTTTTTTTGGTTGATGATATTTGTACTTCATCATTTATTTATGACAAAGGTGTAAAAAATCTCTCTAAGGTTTTATTAAATGAGCACAATACCATCGTGTGCTATAAAAGTGAGCAAATTAGTCTGTGTAGCACTTGTATTAAAAGTGAGCAACTTGAACCCCATGCATTTCACCTCTTACCACTTTTCGTTCAATGTCATTTTGCATTTACCAAACTTCTCCGTTTAATTAAGTTTTTATTTTTTATTTTTTTATTTAAAAAAAAAAAATACATAAAAGGCAAAATATCTTAAAAGCCCTGTATAGTAAGTTGATATATTACATTGCCCTAAATTGATTAAGTGTGTAACCATTCATCTAATTTAACGGAGAGGGTGAAAGTGAAGATGGTTTTCCTATTTTCCCTTATTTTTTGAGAGGGTGAAACTGAAGATGGTTTTCCTATTTTCCTATTTTTTTATTTTTTTATTTTTTTATTTTACTTATGTTTGGCTAATTAGTGGATTTTAGTTTTGTTTTACCACTTTTTGCTAGCTTTCATAGTAATTAACTATGTCGAATGTGCAATGAGTTGTGTATCGATTAAAAGTTGTAATAAAATTTAACAAGCATAATATGTGAAATAATGAATTAACTTCATAATTTAGAAAATAGTTTTGAAATAAATAAATAGATTTGAAGGTTAGGACTACTGCACGTTGAAATTAGTGTGAACATACCTGAGATTGGAAAAAAGTTGTATTATGGGAGATGGACTAAATCATATTATATCTTCACTAATTCTCTCGCTCTTTATATATATATATATATATATATATATATATATATTAATCTTGAGTTTGGTCTATAATAAAAGGTATCAGCAAAGTGAATAAAATGCAACTAGCAATGGAATATTAGAATATGTAAGAATGAATAAATTATGTTTGGTTAGTGGGTTTAGTCGAGAAAAAGAAAAAAAAAAAAAAAAACAGAATGAAAGGGGGAAAAAAAAAAAAAAAAACAGAATGAAAGGAAATGCAAAAACTTATTTTTATAGGAAAATGGGGGTATAACGGTCATATTAGAAAGTACTTTCGGAATTAATCAAAAAGCATCAATTATGTGCATCATAATATGGACGGAAAATGGTCGGAGATGAAATGCAATAGGACAAGTTGCTCACTTTTGAAACTACATGGACTAAGTTGTTTACTTTTATACCATAGTGGTATTTTGCTCCTTTGATGAAACCTCATAAGTTTTTTTTTTTGCACTTTTGCCTTTATTTATTTACACTCCAAATTTTAATTTTTTAAAGAATTAAATTGACTTAATTATCCTTAAAAGACATATTCACACCTCCACAATTATTAAAAATACATATATAGACAATTGTAGTTCACTTTTAGTATAATTTGGTCATGCTATGTAGCTATTTAAAAATAAAAGTGGAGTCCAAGCAGCAAATGGATTTAATATAATTAAACATCCATATTATATTTTTATCCCAAATTTTTTCTTATTTTTTATAACGTATTTTTTAATATATATATCTGTATCAAAATTCCGTATCCATTTTTTCCCATGTCGTATTAAAATAAGAAATTTGGAAGTCGTTAAGCATGATCCTTTTGACTTCCATTCATTTGTGTGTTACTTAGAAGCTAGAAAGATCTGTCTCCAACTGCTCTTCAGTGTCGCTATCACACAGTTCATCTTCCTCATACCTAACAAACTTATTTTGTTATACTACTACTACTTTTATTTTGGTATTTATAATACTCAAATTAAGCATATAATATAGTTTAGTAGTAATAGCATAGGGAAACAAGTTCCAAATAAACAAATGCTTTTGTAACCCCATCCACCACGACACATATTGACAGAGAGAGATTATTGGTAAGCAGCAAAAATATTATAAAACAAGGCGGTTTGCTGAATTGACAGTTTTGGGGAGACCACACTCAACATTGTTGTTTCGACCACGTCACTTGTAATCTTTTCTTGAGTTAAAGGTATGGTAATATGATAAATTTAAAAATAATCAGAGACGAGTAAAAAATAAATATGTTAAAAAATAAAATAATAATAATATATATTATTATATATAAGTTCTTTTTTTCTTTTTCTTTTTCTTTTTCTTTTTTTCATATAAACATAAATAAATTAATAATTTGGAGTTTAGAGTTATTATTTTTGTTTTCTTAAATTTTATATTATTTTTAATTAAAAAGTATATAATATATTTTATATTGTACCCATTTTTTATAAAAATAATTACACAATTATTAGTGTCCAAAACGTATTATTGCCATCCATCCCATATCCAATTAAGAAAGGACAATGCTTAGTTACTCACTAGTTAATAGGGTGAAATTATTCACTCCTATGTGGTCCAATAACAAACTAATATATCACCTTTAATAATAAAATAATTTACACATTTTTCTGCTTTTTCGGATCAATCATTAAATAAACCATATATAGTGTTTTTAGGTGTGAATTATTCTATTTTTAAATGTAATGTGTCATTTTATTATTTGACCATATAAGGGATAAGTAGCTTTACTCTACTTACCAATGAGTAGTTAAGTATTATCCATCAAGAAATACAATATTCACCATTCATCCTATAAGTGTTCGAACCGTATATGCGTATTCAAGAAATATCTGAGTGTCTGATACAATCATGACAATACTTCCTAAATTCACGACCTTCAAAAATATAGAAATGTCGTGACATGTTATTATTATTATTATTTATTTTAAGCTCAATCTCTCTCAATGCCGACACGAGTCTACATAATTTTATTAAATATAGTTATTGTTAACCCTCTTTCTTTATTGTCACGAGGCCTTATATTTCAAATGGGTCACCGTGTTAGAGGAAGCCCACTTGATGCAAGTGGATACAGAAGTTGAATCAACGTGACCCAATTAATAATGGGTTAGAAACAGCACCGGAACCAGCATTGATTCAGACGGCAAATTTATAAAGTGGCCCCTCCTCAAATTAAACTTTTATAAAATTTCTCTAATTCTTTCATTCTTTTCATTCTTACTCTTTTTCTTTTTATTTAATTTTTTTTTAATTCTCTTCAAGATATTTGCATTACCATTATTTAATCAAATTTTATTTTTATTTTCTTCAAAGTTTTCTCATATATATATTTATATTCTTCTTTGTTTTCTTTTTCCTGCACTTATTTTTACTCTTATAACTAAACAACTGTATTAAGAATTTTTTTAGAAAAAGAAAAAATAATATATAATGTAAATACCATTTTTAAAAATAATTCAAACAATTTTTATGAAACATTGTGCAACAATAGTTATCAAACATATTTTTGTTTCAAAATAAATCACACCACTAAAAAAAAAAAAAAACAAACACACACACACACACACAC